CTCTCCCCTTATTTCATATTTCAATCTTTAAAATATCGGTCAATATTCCGGTAAAAAGTTTGGGCGTGTTTCAAGTTGACCTCACCTGTGGCCGCTTGTAAACCACACCATCTCCGATGTAGTCTCTAGGTATCGAGAGGGAATGAGTCGGGTTTGTGAAGGAAGTGTGGGCCCTATTGCTCCATTGGCCTCGAAACTTCTCGTGCTCTCAAAGAAGGCCATTGAATGACACGTGTCAGGCCCCCATATTTTTTGGACCCGCCTAGAATATTTGAGACATTTATTGCACTGTTAGGGTTTCGGAGCCGGAAATTGCAGATCTGCAAGGCGGCACATGAAATCATGCCCAGAAGCGGCATATAAAATCCTATGTGATGCCTTTGCGGCATGCGTAGGCCTTTTGTAGGTGAGGGAGGGGCAGGCCCAGCCACTGAGGGGCAAAATTACCTCGGCTCCATGCCTGATCCAACCGCTTAAATCCTCGGAAAATTATATAATGCCGGAAACCCTTGAAAGCTGGCATGGTGTCATCACATGGCCCCTGTAGGGGGTGGTAAAAGTTTGGGCCTGCTTCGAGTAGGCCTCACCTGAGGCCGCTTGTAAACCACGACATCTCCGATGTAATCTCTAGGTACCGAGAGGGAATGAGTCGGGTTTGTGAAAGTAGTGCTGGCCCTGTTGCTCCATTGGCCTTGGAACTTCTAGTGATCTCAAAGAAGGCCATCAAATGACACGTGTCAGGCCCACGCATTTTTCGGACCCGCCTAGAATATTTGAGACATTTATTGCACTGCTAGTGTTTCGACGCCGGAAATTGCAGGGGGGGGGGGGACGGATGGTAATTTTTCATAATTTCTGGTGATGCAGAAGTATCTGAACACTTTCCTCTACGCGGATTGCTCTTGTGTGTCTACGATTGTGGCCGGCGGCTTCCGGGTGTCGGTGTCAAAACCGGCAGATCTCGGGTAGGGGGTCCCGAACTCTGCGTCTAAGGCTAATGGTAACAGGAGGCCGGGGACACAATGTTTACCCATGTTCGGGCCCTCTCGATGGAGGTAATACCCTACTTACTGCTTGATTGCTCTTGATGATATGAGTATTACAAGAGTTGATCTACCACGAGATCGTAGAGGCTAAACCCTAGAAGCTAGCCTATGGATTGATTGTTGTTGTCCTACGGACTGAACCCTCTAGTTTATATAGACATCGGAGGGGGCTGCGGTTACACAGAGTCGGTTATAAAGAAGGAGATCTACACATCTGAATTGCCAAGCTTGCCTTCCACGCCAAGGAGAGTCCCATCCGGACACGGGACAAAGTCTTCAATCTTGTATCTTCATAGTCCAACAGTCCGGCCAAAGTATATAGTTCGGCTGTCTGAGTACCGCCTAATCCAGGACTCCCTCACCGGGGGCTAGCCATGCCGCCAAATCTTGCGTCGGGGCCTCTTACACATCTAGAAGTGTGGTGGCGGGTGCCAACACCCGGCACGCGTCTTCAGAGTGTGACCCCCTTCATGGACGGTGCTGCCACCGGCACCTGGAGGGGGGTAACGGCCGCGTCGGGTCGACACAGAGAGAATCTTGCAATGGGTTTGGCCCGGACCTTGTTCCGAAGTGTTCCTATGGGCTCACCTACCACCGGGTGGAGAGGTCCATTGGTCAAAGCCCGTCCGACGAAAGTCAAAGGGTTAGGTCTCCTAGTCAACTACTGCAGGGTTTGGCGGGACGGGGGCCTTGGGGGTAGCAATGTCACTGGAGCGTCGCGCAGGGCCCTCATGCATGCCTTAAGGTGTGGTGGTATGCCTGAAGAGGTAGAACGCGGCTCCGGGGTGTGGCCCCCCTCACAAACAAAGATGACACGGTATAGTAAACATTCTGCGGTAGCGGTGCGGCGTGAATATTATTGAATACTCGGAGCACGATAAAATCATGATTTTCTTACACGGCGTGGGCACATGTGATATAGGACGGATGGTAATTTTTCATATTTTTTTGGTGATGCAGAAGTATCTGAACACTTCCCTCTACGTGGATTGCTCTTGGGTGTCTACGATTGTGGCCAGCGGCCTTCGGGGGCTAGCCAAGCCGCCAAATCTTGCGTCGGGGCCTCTTACATGTCTAGAAGTGTGGTGGCGGGTGCCAACACGAGGCACGCGTCTTCGGAGTGTGACCCCCTTCACGGACGGCGCCGTCGCCGGCACCTAGAAGGGGGTAACGGCCATGTCGGGACGACACAGAGGGAATCTTGCGGTGGGTTTGGCCCGGACCTTTTTCCGAAGTGTTCCTATGGGCTGACCTATCACAACCGGGTGGAGAGGTCCATTGGTCAAAGCCCGTCCGGCGAAAGTCAAAGGGTTAGATCTCCTGGTCAACCGCTCCAGGGTTTGGCGGGACGGGGGCCTTGGGGGGTAGCAATGCCACCGGATCATTGTGCGGGGCCCTCATGCATGCCTTAAGGTGTGGTGGGGGCCTGTCTGAGGAGGCAGCACACGGCTCCGGGTGTGGCCCCCCTCACAGACAACGATGACACGGTATAGTAAACGTTCTGTGGTAACGGTGCGGCGTGAATATTACTGAACACTCGGAACGCGATAAAATCATGATTTTCTTACACGGCGTGGGCACATGTGATATAGGACGGATGGTAATTTTTCATAATTTTTGGTGATGTAGAAGTATCTGAACAGTTCTCTCTATGCGGATTGATCTTTACGTGTCTACGATTGTGACCGGCGGCTTCCAGGGGCTAGCCATGCCGCCAAATCTTGCATTGGGGCCTCTTAGACGTCTAGAAGTATGGTGGCGGGTACGCTAAGAGTCATGAAAATATTAAAGTGGCGTTAAATTAAAAATTTCATAAATAAGACCCATGAAAACTAGTCGATAGAAAATAGGTTAGAATAATAATATTAATTAAGTAGTAAATATAAATGCAATGAAAACCATCTTAAACTAATTTCACACAAATGTTACGCGTTGCAAAAAATCCGCAAAAATGTAAGCCTAGTGCTTTGATCAGGCACACGGCTTATATGTCCTATAAGCCGAGTGCCTGCTTCGGACACACGGCTTATAGGCTGCTCCGTGATGGCACCGTCAACCACTGTTGTTGCAGACACGTGGCAGATGTCTTTGTTGAGTGTGTGCTGTAAGCCGGGTGCCGTTTCCCATAGATACCATGTGTTTCATATAAGCCGTGAGCTTTTTTGCGAAACTCGGCTTATAGATAACCATAAGCCGAGTTCTTCGTATTTACCAGGTGTTTTTTTTTCGGGACTTGGCTTAAAACACACTCGGCTTATAGGCTAACACACGGGAAACCGGGATTTTCCTGTAGTGACATGACCAGACGGTGAGGGGTATACCACCCTCCAAGAGGGCAATGCTTTTGTAGGCATATAGAATTTGCCATGTTGGTATTGTTATGTTCGATGACTACCATTTCTTCGCAAGAGCGCCCTGTGGCAGTTACTGTACAATATTATGTTTGTAGCGATCACAGATGTTACTGATCTACAGATTTGTGGGGTATGAGTATGTTCATTTTTAATTTTGTCATTTGATATTTGGTAGGCGGAGCTCATATCTTAAGCGATAGTGATCATGAATCTGTTACTACAGATAGGGTCTACCTGTGTAAGTTTTTTTTTATGTTGCCTTCGGTTCATATTGGCAAGCAGTTCTCTGTATTATTCTTCGGATTGCTTGCATTGAAAGAAAGCACCCAAATTAGAGCCCAGAAGTACTTGAACATGGCTTAGTGTGGGTGGTGCTCAAACATGGCCTATAGGCATTGTTATGTGGTTCTTCCAGGCTTTTTCTTTTTTCCATACGATAGTAACAGTGAATGCAATTGTCCAATATGCATTCATAACACTTCTTTTTTTTATAAATTACGTCAAACTGTAACACTAATGTGGATTTATTTCTTGAAACTGTGTTATCCCACGAAGAGGGTAGGTAGATTAGACCAAATATGTTGTAGGGCGCCCTCCAATTAAAAGTTCCCAGCTAACAGTAAAATCAACCATATTTGTCATTTTTTCCGCACAACAGTTTTGATATGCAGCCTCATAATAATTTGACCTGTCTAAAAAAACGGTGTTGTCAACTTGAAAAACCCTTTTCTCACTAGCGACAAACTTTTATCATCTAATTTTCAACACTATAAACCAATATGCATTCTGCAACCAATATTCAATATGTTGTTTGAACTAAATAATTTGAGTTTCTATGGGCTAACAATTCGAATACTAACATTTTCCCTAAAAGTTTCAACTTTAATTTCAGAATCCCTATTGCGATTGTTATAAAGTTAACTTCCAACCGAAACCGTTTCCGAATCCATTTTAATATGGTACCATAAGATATTTTTGAGATCCAAACACAATCCCGAGTCCAACTGTGTATAGGATATAGACGACACCGTAGGAATGGATAATCCGGTTTTTCTAGCCGGATAATCTGATCCTTCAAAAAAAATATGGATACACGCTTTATGTGTGAAGTTTGAAGTATTAACTAGCAAAGCTTGAGTGCTATCTTTGCTTGTGAGAGAAAACGTAAGTTAATTTGTGTACTACTAATGTACCTGACTTTTCAGTGCTTTGTGTATGTTTAAAGTGTACAAGTATTAATACTTGCCTATTGTTGTATTTACATATTCGGTTGGCTTGAGAGAGAGAGAGAGAGAGAGAGAGAGAGAGAGAGAGAGAGAGAGAGAGCAGGGTAATTATGAGCTGGGGCAGGATCGAATCGGGCGCTCACCATTTCGGCATACCCGTTTGGAACCCGAATCCACTAGATGAAATGGGTTAGAACAGAAACCCGGAAGGGAAGCAGGACAGCTGGCCGCAAAACCCCCTCCCCTGTTCCTCGCCAATCCCCATTTACCCATTTCCCACAAACCCCAGTCCCCTAGCTGCGCCAACCCCAACCCCAACCACTCCGGCATTCCGCCCGCGTCGGAGCTTCGAGGAGCTAGGGCTTCCCATCCCGATGGCCGCCGTGAAGCCCTCGCTGCCGCCGGCGCCGGCGGGGACCGTCGTCGTGGTGCTCGCGCTCGTGCGCGCCGTCCTCGCCCTGACGCTGGTGCTCGGGCGCGTCCTCCTCGTCGCGGCCGAAGCGCTCCCCTACCTGGGCTTCGCGACTCTGTGGGTCATCTCCGCGGCCGCGGCTGCCAGGGTCGTGGGGAGCCGAGCCTGGGACGAGGGCTCCGCCTCCGCCGTGTTTCTCCAGGCGCTCGCGGACGGGGCTCTCAAGGCCAGCTTCCTTGTCCTGCAAGCGCTTGGCACCGTGATGCTGTGCGGCCAGTTCCTGCTCTACGTGGTTGCAGCTGTATCTGGATCCGGTTCCGAGTTCCAGAAGGTATTGTCGAAATAACATTTCCTTCGATTGAATTGCGGCAGTAGATAGGCAGCAAGCTTAGTGGCTGAGCTCTGCACTAATATACGAACAAAATTCACATGTCTACCATTCTAATCAAGTTGTCCTGATGGAAATATGAATGGGATATAGTGTAGTGTTTCATGTGAGTTCATCTGCATCATTCAATTTTCGGCCGATTCCATACTCATGTCCGTCGTTGTTGTTTTGCTGAATTTGATGCCCCCCTCAGAGAGCCCATGGAGCTTTCAACCAGGAGTTGATTAGGGGGGTTCCTCCCCGCACCGCAGTCCTTGGAACGTTCGCTTCTACGCCCTTCATCCTGCTAATTTTAGCTGGTTCTCTGGTGCAATGCATGATGTCGAAAAAGATTGGTTCTGTGATTGTGGATGTGGGGATATTTGGCTCCAGTGCCATACCTTGCTTTGTCGTCATTCCAGCTGTAGTACTGAGTAACTGGAGGGAGGACCAGATGTCAAAGAAAAACATGACTCACGTTGCAGACTGTTGAGGTATATACCTTTCCCTATATCCAGAAGCCATATTATTTTCAGTTAATTTGTATATCTTGTGCACATTATTGGTCTCCTAATAACATGAAAACAGTTCCCCAATGTTGTGAATTTGCAATCATTTTTCTTAGCGGCAGGAACCTTGATTGTTGTTTGTTAACATGGAGTACTGTTATATCTTAAACCAATGAGGGTTTTCCTATTCCTTCTGGTAGTTGCATATTTGCATTGATGACAAACATTGGGGTTAGCCTCAATCTTCAGTTATGCTGAGTGGCCAACTGCCGCAGTTCTACTGTGTGCCTTTGTTGTGAACTGATCATCAAAATGATATTGGATATTTAAATTTAGTACTGATCTTCTTTGGTTAAGTCTTCAATTGACCAATCAGATGCCTACTAATAGATCACCAGTGAAAACCTAGTATGCGTTGTTCATGTCCAGTCATTACTGGGATTGTTGTGATTGGGTAGCAATTTATTCATTGAAATCCACCATAAGTGGTAGGTCTCTGATTTCAAAGGGCTGGGTTGTCGGGCATCTTCTTCTACTTAATTGCATTATCTTGTTATTTATCCGCCTTGTTTTATATGTTATGGGTAAACTTAGTGCTTTGTTTTAGTGAAGATAGCAAACAGAATCTCAGTTCAACTATTCAAGTCGGTAGCATGGTTGTGATATGTAGAGTAGTCGACACTTCCCTTAACCTGTAGCTACTTTCTACTTGCATGTGGTGTTATTACTCCATGTCATTTCTGTAGAAGTACCTTTGGAGGACACATGCTGACGTTGTAGTGAAATATTCTCCCCTTTCACGGGGTTTCGGCGTCCCTTCAGCTATTCCTAAAAAGTGATTCATTTGGAAAAAGCATTTTTCAAGAAATATTGTCGATAGTTTCATATGTTTATTTCTAATTTTATTGATGCTTCTTGTGCAAAAAACTTGAAGAACACTACTATTGTGGGGATGATTGCATAATGACAAATATATTTCATTCAGACAAGCTACATGATGCCATTAGTTCCATTGAATTTTTCTTATTCTGCTACTTATCCCCGAAAAGTAATTTCTCCAACTAGTTTCCTATGCATACCATTCTTTCGTGCCCCGTGGAGTGTGGATTGCCCTGCTTTGCTCTGTCCAGTGGTCCTCATAGTGAAGTTCATGAGAAGTCCTCATAGTGTAGTTGATGAGAATATGCGGAGCTTGTGAGCTCAAGATGGTTTCCATATGTGGAATAACCATCGATTAGGCCATTTTTTACCATCGGGTGTGCAATTCAGTGGCTAGTTTGACCTAGCTACCATTTACATTAAATTTGCACCTTTGAAGCACTCAGCCTTTCCAAATTAGGCTGTCATACGGACCAAGAAGTATTACGCTTTATATGCTGAGTCACAATTGTTCTCAGTTCCCACTCTTGATCTAAAAAATACCTCTACCTGGTCTAGCTGCAGCGGCATTGTAGTGAACCTTGCCATGTCAGTATACTACCACTACTACTGTACATATATCACTACATACAAGTTTATAATTTTGGGTGCTTAATATCAATAGGCACCTACACAACCCCATTCAAGTTATAGTTTTCTGCTGCTAATCTAATTGAGCGTTGGTTTTCTTTATTAAGACATAACACTGAATGGAAGGTGTGAAGATGGGCAAGGCAAATTACAAGAGCTGACTCTTTGCTGAAGTTTATGGCCGCTGATGAGTTCTGGGTTATAGTTACCTGTAGTCATGACTGTAGATTGGTCCACTAGTGTTTACTTGCTGCTGGGAGGTCGGGAGTACGAGACCAGACAACGAGTATAAATAACACCCTCCCGGAGGATAATGCTTTTAATACATCCCCTTTTATCCATTTTGATGACAAGTATTTCAGGACGGAGGGAGTATTTCTTTGCAAGTCAATGGCCCATCATCATCTCTTAGCTATAAAGGTTGTTCAACATTTCTCGTCTGTCTGAAATTTCTGACTAGGAGCATCGACGTGAGTACAACGTGAGGGCCTTCTCACCACTGACAAATCCGCCTTATTTAACATATTTTCCGTTTTACTATATCGCTACTTTGCAATCAACATTGTTACAGATTACATATGACTGGCAATTTTACACAGTTGTCCCAAGTTTCCTTTTGTCAACGGTGACAAACGATGAAGGCAATTGTCATACATGCATGATGGACTGTGGTCCATATAATCAATTTTTCAGTACACTTTGGACTGCAGCTGTATTTTGAACCTTGTTTTCTGAAAGTGCGTTATCCCCAAGGAGGGTAGGATCAATTAGAACTGTCACTTGCTTTGGACAACAATTACTTTCTTATTGGCCGCTTTTTTAAAATCAAAATCTACCTAATTGTGCAGTCATAATAGTTCGATCCTAGTCTCCAAAATGCATGGTTGCCTGTCAAACCTTTTTTCCTGTGACAGGCGATCTTCGCTTCTATGCTCCAGTTTGAAACTTTCAGAAGCTAATATAAGGGGCTGATCTTTGCTTCTACTCTCTCCGTCCGAAAATACTTGTCATCAAAATAAACAAAAAGTAGTGTATCTAGAACTAAAATACATCTACGTACATCCTCTTTTATTTATTCTGATGACAAGTATTTCTGGACGGAGGGGGTATGCTCCAGTCAGCCCCGGCTGTATCTCTTAATGGAAATCGGAGAGAGAGCTCTCTTTTATCAATATATAGGGTCGCACTATTCGTTACCCTGAGTGAGGAATAGTTATTCTTCACCCCATCTTTATTTTGACATCAATGCACCATAATTGTACGTTCCGTAAGTTATGTCTTATTTCCGACGTAAAAAGAGACCGTAAGAAAATATATAATCATCGTAAAAAAATTATGTTATGTAAAATTTGCAGTTTATGTGTATTTTACACTATGTTTTTATGTTTGTAATTTTACATAACATAATTTTTTTACAATGATTATATATTTTCTTACGGTCTCTTTTTACGTTGGAAATAAGACATAACTTATGGAATGTAAAATTATGGTGCATTGATGTCAAAATAGAGAGGGGGTGAATAATAACTATTCCTCACCTAGGGTGACGAATAGCGCGACCCTATATATATGAGGGGGGCACCGCTAGAACACACAACATTTACTCCTAGCCGTGTGCGGCCCCCTTCTTCACAGTTTATGCCTCCGGTCATATTGTCGTAGTGCTTAGGCGAAGCCTTGTACGGATGACTTCACCATCACCGTCGTGCTGACGAAACTCTCCCTTGACGCTTTGCTGGATCAAGAGTTCGAGGGACGTCATCAAGGTGAATGTGTGCAGAACTCGGAGGTGTCGTACGTTCGGTACTTGATCGGTCAGAACGAGAAGAAGTTCGACTACATTAACCGCGTTGTTAAACGCTTCCGCTTTCGATCTATGAGGATACATGGACACACTCTCCCCTTATCGTTGCTATGTATCTCCTAAATAGATCTTGCATGAGCGTAGGAAAGTTATATGCTGCTGCTCTACTGCCCTAACCTAATTAACCTAAGTTAATCTAATTAACATCTACTAGTACCACTACTGCTAATTCCTAGGGTTCATAACTAAATTCACCTAAGTTAATTAATCTAGAGAGGAGGGGTGGGGCTTACAGAGAGGAGGGCGTTGAGGGTGGCTCGGGGGAACGGTTGCGGGGAGGCAGGGGCGGCGAGGAGCGGACGAGGGTGGCTTCGGGGGCGTGCGGCTCCGATGGCGGCGATGGCGCGCGGCTCCGGTGACGGCGACAGAGGTAGGGCGACGAGGGAGCAGGGGCGGCGAGGAGCGGATGAGGGTGGCCCCGGAGGCGCGCGGCTCGGGCGCAGGGCGATTAACGACGGCAACAGATTGAGTGAGGGGAGAAGGGGAGAGGGGGAAAAGGACTTAGCAAAATTTTAAGCCCGCGCGTGGTTAAGTCAAACTAGCAGTAGCGGTGGTAAGGAAAATGCGCTATAGCTAAGTTAGCTATAGCGTTTTCCACTAAAACACGCTACTGCTACAGGAAGTAGCTATTTTTTTTCTTTTCCTTTTATCTAAGGACTTAGCTATAGCGCGTGACCACAAAAGCGCTACTGCTAAAGTAGCTATAGAGCTTTGTGAGAACAAATGCTACTGATATGCCTTTCTTCTCTATTTTCCTTTTTCTTTTCTTATTTCTTTCATTTTCATTTATTTTTCTATTTATTTTTCTACTTACTTTCTTTTTCTTAGGAGTAGCGCTCTATCACAAAAACGCGCTGCTACAACGCACTTAGCAATAGCGTGTTTCACACAAGCTCGCTACTACTATTTCTAGCCTACCAGCAACAACAGTGTGAGAATTTTAGTAGTAGCATTTTTTTGAGCAGACGCGCTACTGCTACAAATATAGTTGTAGCGTGCTTTCATGACAAGCGCTACTACTAAGTAGCAGTAGTGCTTAGTTTTGACCAGCGCTACTGCTATACCTTTGTGTATAAGGTTTTCCCTAATAGTGTGGGGTCCCTCCCATCGGCGGGGTGGCCAAGATCCTTCGCATGTTGCTGACATGGTTTTTGACCAAACCAAAATAGCGTGCAAATACTGTACCAAAACTTAGGTAAATGCGAAACGGCAAAAATCTGTTTTATAATGAAAATGATCAATTAAAAAATATAATCAACCGCTCAAATCAACGACCAAAAAAATAGGCATATTATATATTCGAACGTTGATAATGCACACTTTAAACCGACAATTACAAAATATGGCAAAACGAATTTGTCTTGTATGTACATGCATCGTCGCCGACGGATGTTGATCTAAAATTTCACCGTCAAGGACGACGCCAATATTATGGAAGCATCAGGCAGTATGTTCCTCCATCAGAAAAATATTGTTGTATCTTAACCGATGCACACGAAATATAATTTGATAGAGAAGCCAATCATAAGGTTGATCGTTGCGTAAAAAACCCATTTAATAATGAAAGGGAACAATTTAAAAATAATGGTACGATATATTTTTGATATTACA